TTGATGAATTACACTTTTCTGAGAATAGACTTGAAGTGGAGATCGTTAAACTGCAAGCTAACCGGTGTTTTCAGAAAGCAAGCGTGTTTATCCACAGTGGAGAGAGCGCGTGTGCACAGGGTTGCCAGGTTGACAAAGATAAGTAGCACATTTAGCAGATATTTCCGTATTGCGCAAGTGTAAAGCTCTGTTTTGGGGATTATGTCTCTTTATATCAGGCAACCCAGTTGTGTTCCTCTGCGGCCAGATTAAACCTGGTTGTAGCCTATATATGCTCTAATCATTCTTTTTTAGAAACCTCGCACTTTTCTACTCAATTTTAAACGTTGTAAAATTTTAAACAAATTAAGCGTGGTCCACTGCTGCACACGTGCAACAATATCGATACAGGGCCAGCTGTATCGATACTCGTATCATCAAATCTCTGTGACGTTACATCGTCGTATCGATATTTTGAACACAGCACTACTAATTACATAACAAGCTTTGGCTGCAAGTTATAGGAAGTAGTCTTGTAATGTGAGGATGCATAAATATGCATGGTTATTTCTTTGTGGCAATAAGCTCACAATTCTGAAAGCATTTACTTTAGCATTTACAAAGAAAAAAAGCACGCTATTGTATTCAATACATATATACATAATTATTTATATTTGTAGGACACTGGACTGCATTATGACCGCTATCTCAGGGAAGTTATCGATTTTCTTGAAAAAGATCAACATTTTAGAGAAAAGCTTCACAACACAGACATGGAAGATATAAAGGTAAGAAACAGCATGGCTTTATTTGTGTTGTGTTGTACAATACAAAGGTCACACAGAGCTAATCTGTTCGTTCCTGCTGATTTCAGCAAGGGAAGTTGGCTAAAGAGCTTGACTTTGTCAGCCACCATGTGAGAACCAAGCTGGATGAACTTAAAAGGCAAGAAGTCAGCCGTCTGAGAACCCTAATCAAAGCCAAGCAAGATATTGAAGGAGGGAATGGTAAGAATGGCTGTAAAAATAATTACAGTTGAATAAGTGCTTGAGGTTATTTCTCCTATGTAGGCGTATTAATGAATGAATAGACCATAAACACAAAATGGGTCTTCAAAACATTCTCTGAACACTGTTCTCTCTCATGTTTATCAGATATTGCAGTAGATCACCAGGCATTACTCAAACAGTTTGAGTATCTGAACCACATGAACCCACACACATTTGAGGTTGAGGATCTGGACAGACTTATTAAATCGGTACGTCATTACTTACAGTTACTCAGCTTCTTCTATCATATTTCATTTAATTCTGTGGCTGTTACTTTGAATGCTTGAATATTCCCTTTATTTGATACTTGATTTTGGTGCTTAAGATAATCCTTAAGGTCAAGAACGAAGCTGCCAAATATATTTAGCATTTAAAATAAATTTCTTATTGCATAAAAATATAATAATAACAATACATTTCCATGACTAAGTCGTTTTTAATAAATCATTTCTCAGTGATTTAGAAAAAACACAAAAAATTTCATTGACACTGCCAGGCCTGGAAATTACGATTTAAAAATGTCTTAATATTTTCAGGTTTTCTATAAAAGTGGGACTGATGTAACTCACTAAATATGGTCTGTACTGGTTAAAAATGTTTTTGAACTGCGTTCTACAAATATACTCTAAAGGATTTCTGGAATCTTCCATATGCGCTTAAAAAGAACATCATGTAATACTCTTTGTTTTAAATCCAAGAAACATCTCATGGCCATTTTCCTTCTTTTCGCATTCATAAGATAACTGAAGACGAAAACATGTCAAGCAATTATATTTCAGTCATATTTATGATCTTGCAATATAGGCTACAAAAGATCTGGAGAACTACGACAAGGAACGGCATGAAGAATTTAAAAGGTACGAGATGATGAAAGAGCACGAGAGACAGGAACACCTGAAGACACTTGATGAGGAGGGCAGGAGGAAAGAAGAGGAGCACTATGAGGAGATGAAGAAGAAACATGCTGATCACCCTAAAGTCAATCACCCCGTAAGTCGCCACGTATTTACTTATCTTAATGTTTGTGATTTCATTGAGGATATGCTCATGTTTTTCGAATGTTCTGTTATGTAGGGTAGCAAGGATCAGCTCAAAGAAGTGTGGGAAGAGGCTGATGGCCTGGACCCTGAGGATTTTGACCCCAAAACATTTTTCAATCTGCATGGTAAAATATTTTTGGTAGCTTAAGATGAATCCGGGATATGAGAATGTTAAAATGACATGCTTAATATTGCTCTTTTTTTTGTATTGCAGACACAAATGGAGATGGCTTCTTTGATGAACAAGAGCTGGAAGCCCTGTTCACGAAAGAGGTATAACAGTTGCATAATTCACCACAGAATAA